TGGCAACTTAAAGTTAGGTTTTGTAGAGCAAGTTTGGCAGTGTACGTTATGGCGGTAACATCACAAGAAGCAGCTTCTCCTGGGAGCACAGTCACCCCTCCCCTTCACTCAGTAACTCTTTTTGGGCTTTTCACTGGGATTTGGAGATACCCGCTTCCTAAAGGACTGCTGCAATGAGACTGTTACCATGGTTTTCTGAGATTTCCAGTCTTTTCAGGTACAAGAGAAAAATCAGTCCAGCTAGGCTTTTATATTATTTTACTTTGTAGGTTCCAGGTAGTATTGTGACTGTGTTAAATATATCCCCCATGTTTACATGGGATTTTTGTCTTCTGGTAATAACATGTTGCTACTGAACTCTTTAAATGGATGGTGCCTGCCGATTGTTTGGCATTGTAGCAAGGCAAAGCCTGTTGCCATGGAGCTTTGAGGACTTGCTTCGCCAGTCAGCATACCTGCAGCTAGAGAACTGGTTAAATGATCTCTTTGTAGGAGTAGTTTCTTCAGGGTAGAGAAAAAATTAGGAAAGAAGGGATGAAAAAATGGATGGGAGGGTGTTTAAGAAAGATATATCCTTCTCACAGTCCATATCCATCATATGTTTCTACTGTGTCAAGTTGCCATCTCCTTGAAGAATCCTTAATTGTCAGGCAATTTGGTGTTTGACTTAAAGCTCACAACAGCGCATGTAGCTGATTTTCCCTGCTTTAATACTGCTCCCCCTGTTTCAAATTTCCTTTGCTTTGCTGTGGATTAACGCCATGTTAGCGTGGTGAGGAGCATGGCAGAGGATGATGTATCTCATCTCTGTGGAAGGATTTTTTTGTGAAGGATATATTATCAAACAGGAAAGCTTTCAGTGCTTGCTTGTTACTCAGTTGTGAGAATCAGCAGGATGCTGCTCCAAATCAATCTCAGCTACTAGGCTGCTATTTAATAATTATCTAGAAAGGTCTGTATCTCATTGAACTTTTCAAGCCAACTTTCTCCCTTTTTTCACGTAGACTGACAAGTTTGATGTAGTAGATCTCTAGCCGTAGCTGTTGGCCGATTTTTCGGGAGGCTGGGCCTCACTGGTGTCTTACTGGAAGTCCAAAAATACTGACACCTGTGTTTGTTTTTCTTAGTCATGTGATGTAGTTTTGTTCCTATAGTCAGTCGTGAACTTTTGTGTACCAGATTTTATGCAGAAATACATAAATTTTCTCATTTTTCTTCAGAATATATGTGTTGCTGTAGTACTTCTGTGTGTTTGAGATTATTGCCATCCTATACAATGTATTGTCTTGCATGCCGTGACTTTTGTGTTAGCAAAGTTGTACCACTGTGTAGTTATATTGCCCTTTATGATTCCTGTTACCAAATATGGGGTGTGTTTGTTAAGTATTACTTTCCATTCATATATTGAAAATTTGACTTGTCTTAAGTCTTCAGTGTATTGTTCCCTAAACCTGGAGATACTTCAGTTCAAATGAGGTATGGTTCAAATTTCTGTGTGACTGCAGTTGCTTCTATTTGAATCCCCAAAATCTGAAATTACTGATGCAGTCGTAGCTCAGGTGCAGGAAGAACAACAATTCAGTATGAATTCCCTGTCCTGGTTCCTTCATTCAGGACATAGGGAACCTGAGATATATTTTTGAGATATTTGAGATATATTGAGATATATGAGATACATATTTGAGCTATATTGAGGTAACTTTGTGACCTCATTGCTGTTATAAGTTTAACTTTTGCTTATTCCTATTGTTTTCTGTCTTCCACTGGAATGTATCGTATGTGCCACTGTGCTGCTTTTCTCCTAGTTCCTGGAGATGTGGCTCTTGCTCAGGTACTACAGGATGCCCATGTAAATGAGGCATGGTTTAAATGCATCAGCCTTATGTGCTGCTCTGCAGATGTGCCTCCTTCTGAAAAATACTGGCTTATGGTGTGGCAGCTGTTTATACAGATGTTATTCTAAAGGGATCTCCTGCTGGCACATAGTGTGTACAAACAGTTTTAGATACTTTTTAATCTATCTCTCTGATAGCCAAGCTCTTGAGTAATGGAAGTCTTTTTCCCCAGTGTAGCATTTTCCTGGGGAGACCTGATAGCACAGATACTGGACTTAACAGATCTCAGGCAAGTGGCAATACCTAAAGTTTATCACGATGACTACTTTGTCAAACAACCTTCTTGAAAATCTTCCTGGAAGAGATTAATGACAAAAACTGGGCAACAGCTATAATAAATATATATAATGGATAGGTATGCCTTCTTCATGTGTTGTGGTAATATTCAGGTTTTGCAGTATCCCTGTACCTCCTGGCTTATCATGATCAACTAGCTGGGCATAGAGCTAACCTGTGTGTGACTTTCAAGGATCCTGGGAATCATTTCTTAATTTCATACATCTTAATGATAAAATGGATTTTCTTCTACCAGGGCATGACACTTGGCACAAACAGGCAATGCTAAATGCAAACAAGTTTAAAACCCTTATGTGTGAAAAATACTTGTTTCTGCTGCTAACTGTGAATTTTTCTGGCTATTGAGGCTGTCATTGTATGCAGTGACTTTGCTAATGTGCAAGATGCATGTTAGTCATCCAGTTGCTGGTATACTTGCAGAAGGCAATGTCTGACAAAAGGGCTGTTGTCTGGACATCATCTCAAGCGATGAGAGTTGTTGCTTTCTGACAGTCTGCACACTAGTGATAATAGCATTTACTAGGTTTGCCTTGCAGTGCAATTATGACTCCAGTTCTTTGACCATGGAATTTCATGATTCCTGTAGCCACGGTTTCAATGGGCTTGGGCATGGGTTTGACCCAGGTCTCACTTGTACAACAAACTCTTTGTCAGCTCATTTATTTCTTTCTTTCGTTACTGAGATGTTTGAGTGTAAGCATTTTCTTTCTTGCACTCCAGCTGCTTCTTCACCCTCTTCTGCAGTCAAGCTATAATCCTGTGGATTTGATATTGCAGGCTGTTGCCATGGAAATAATGGTGATTTCACTACTTCAGTGCTACAAGCACTGCAGGAGGCAATAGAAACGGTCGTTGGCAACAGATATAGTGAGGACGTGGGGGACAGTTCAGGGGAGTTCTTTATGAACCTTATTTTTTCTTTTTTTTGGGGGGGTCTTCTCCCTCTCTATTATTGTGTTTTTTCAGTATTTGTTATTCTTTTCTCTCCCTCTTTTTTTTTTTTAAAGGATGATGTGTAACAATTTCATGTGTTCTTACTTCATTTTTTTATATTTTTTTTTGCACAGGTTGTAGCTAAATGCTCCTTTCCTTTTTGTCAGAATAAATCACAACGCTTTCCTTCCAGCTGGTAATAATTCATTTCTGGACAAAGGGCCAAGGTTGAGATGTAAGCACATTCTGTTTAAGTCATGTCTTTAGCCTGCAGAAATCCCTTTCAGGAAAACTTTTGGTGGTGGTGGTGGTTTGTTTTGGTTTTTTGTTTTGGTTTTGCTTTTTGTTTGTTTGTTTGTTTTTGCTTTTGGGATGTTTGGTTTTTTCCATAAATAGTAAATGAAGCTGGGATCATCATGTGTGACACATGCATTTAAAGCTGTCTATGTGACTGACAGTATTCAAACCTAATACATTCATTATTTAATTTTTAGTGTGCTCTACATGCAAAAAAGATCGGTGCTGGAGATCATCTTAATGCAGCATCTGTTCTTAGCATTACGTTGTGATTCCACATCTGTACTGAAATTTTTTCTCTAAATTAGTCATGCCCATGAAGGTAGAATTAAGCCTACTGCAGAAATCAACTTTGTTATAAAACGAATTAGCAGCTTAATAAGCTGAAGGCAAATGGCATTGAGAAGAATGAGAAGTTTTGAAACTGTATGCTTGAAAGCATCAAGCAGCAGTCTTTTTTCCCCAACTACTTACAACAGTGTTCCACTGATTAGCATAGTCAGAGAGCAGATATTATCTGTAACTTTTAAATTAAGATCTTAGAATTAATTTTCAGTCTTCAATAGGACGTCATCAGTAACGACGGTGACAGTAAACTTTTAAGATCATTTTTAATTGAATCAAGAAAAAGTGTTTCTACTTATCAGATGCTTTAAAATGATCTAGGAATTGCTTTAAAAATATTTTGATCTTTTTCTGCTTGATAGTCCATAAATGGAGATAAGAAGATAAGCTGTTACATATGAAAGGGAAACAATAAGGAATGTTCAACATGCCTCTGGCTTTGTTGGGCAGTGTTATTAGGAAGACCATAGGAAGTTCATAAGGATAGATTAAGAAGACCATTAGGAAGTTCATAAGGATAGATTCAGTCCCTTGATACTGTGTGAATGGAAACAGAATATGTGTGTGCCAGTACTCACATATGAATTTCACAAAAGCCTTGCAAACAACTTGTGCATAAATTAAAATGACAAAATGAGCCAGAAATATGTTTGCAGGGCCTGTCCTGAAAAGATGCTAACTAAGTATTTTGTGCTCTTAAATCTAACTGAGAATGTGAGCATTTGATAGTACTGAGTATTACATAAACCAGGCTTTTAAAATAAATCAAGAGAGAGAACATTTCCTCTGTGAACTGTATTTATTAGTGAACACTGATTAGTCATGTAACGTCTCCTCATGCCAACTAAGTTTTTTAAGCTTTGTATAAAGGCACATTTCTGCTGAATTGCACTGGGTTATATATACTTTACGCTTGGCCCAAATTTGCTGCATAACTGAAAAATTTTGCATTTTTTCATGCATGATATTGGTTATAAAATTTTGTCTATGTCACTATAATACAAGTAGCATTTAGCTTCTGTATGTAAGAAGGTCAGTGAGGTGATGAATATACTGACTGGGACTAATTTTTTACTCCTTCATGGAATAGTTATTTAAAACTCTTGGTAAGGTGCCATTTACTACAGGTGGTAGTATCTGATTGACACATGAACTCCTCCATGATAAAGGAATTTGAAGGCCTGGACAACAGGCAGGTGTTTCAGTGCCTCATTGCCTCTGTTCCTGTTACAGGTGCATGTGACAGCATTGCAGCAATGAGTGGAATTTTAAAGAGGAAGTTTGAAGAAGTTGATGGCACTTCACCTTGTTCCTGTGTATGGGAATCAGATGATGATATTTCTAGCAGTGAAAGTGCCGACAGTGGAAGTAATGTCCATCCATCCACTTCTAATCATTTTACTCGTAAGTACGAAAGTGATGTGTAGGGCATGATATGCCTTTTTATACCAGCTAAGGAATGTTCATCTTATGTGGCAGAAATCCAGTGTAGTCCATCTGATTCTATTTTGAAGCATTTTTCTGTTTTATTACATTTAAATGTTGACACTGTAAGGAAGTACTTCTTTTTGAAAAATAACTATTTCCTAGTTGTTGTTTATGTAAAAAAAATTGTACATCAGTGAGTTTCTGAGAAAACTCTGCTTATATATTGTAGTGTGAAATATTTTAAATATAAAGAACATCTTCCATTTTGGGTAATGATTTGGGTGGGGAAAAGGGGAAAATCATCAGTCACAAAGTTTGAACACCACTGCTTCTGCATAACCCTATCAGTTCAGAGTTGAGTCATGTGTGCCATCTGTGACAGAATAGCTGATTCCTCAGATCATTCATTCGGCTGCTTAAGCCAATGCAACCACATAGCCCTCAGTCCTTTTCTTCCACGCATTACAGGAGTAAATAGAGGAAACATGCAATTCTCCCTGAAAAAATGTTAGATTCATATTTGATGTCTGCAGGATGCACTTGAACAGAAATCTTGTTCCCACTCAACCAACTGAACATGAATAGTTAATTTACAGAATATTTTGCTTTTGACTTCTCATGTTGAGGTTACCAGTTAGTAAGCTTGTATAATTTGTGGAATCTACATAAAGCTTCATATCTGCAGTAAACCATGTGTGTAAATGAGTAGCAGTAAGTGATCCAGACTTTATCTTGCAATTTGTATGTAGAAGCTAGAAGGCTTTCTTAATTTGTTCTTTTTTTGTTTTATTTGTTTTGGGGGTTCTTTTTTTTATCTTTTTTAACACCCTAATAATGCTGGGCTACAGCTGTTTACAAATTACAGCTGGCAATAGCGTTAGTGTAGTTCTTTATTTAAAAACCCATAAGGAAGATCCTAAAACTCCCCCACCAGCACACACAGAAGGGAGGAGGACCAGTAATGCAGAAGAATGGAAGCTTGCAATGGAAAGGACCAGCAGAAGGAAGAGACTTCCCCCAAACCCTGAGGTGCCCTTGCAAGCTGCTTTACCAGTCTGCAGACTGAAGATGAAAGATCCATCATATCAGGAGACATGCTGGAGCTGAGTCTGATCTGCTTCTGTATAGAATCATAGAATGGTTTGGATTGGAAAAGACCTTAAGATCATATAGTTCCAACCCCCTAGGTTGGGGGTCCATAGGCAGGGACATCTCCACACTAGACCATGTCACCCAAGGCCTTGTCCAACCCGGCCTTTAACACTGCCAGGGACCATTGCAACTAAAAAAAGACAACAGATGATAATAGTAGGCAACTGTTTTCTGGGGTGGAGGGGGGCACAGAGGAACTATTTTCTAGCCTGATGCGCTCTCTTGAGAAGTGTGCTGCTTATAGGGTGCTTGTATGAGGGATGTTATTCAGAGACTACCAAGCCTCATTAAATCCACTTAACTGTTATCTGCATCTGTTGTTTCATATGGGCACCAGTGATACAGCCAGGAGCAGTTTCAGGAGTATCAAGTCTCAGGAGTATCAAGAAGGATTACAGAGCTCTGGGATCTCTTTGCCACTTCCTACTACCAAATCTGTGTGTACATCCGGTCTTCTGATTTGATACTTTGAGTACTGCTGCCTTACCTCTGTGAGTGCAGATGGCAGCCCAGTACTGAGTGGCTTTGCAAAGCCCAGGTTTTCTGTAGGCTTCTTTCTGAATTTAGAGTACTAGTGGAAAGAACAGAGACTGGGGTTATTTGAGACACAAGTAGTTGAGAGATGTCCCACTCCTTCCCCCTCCCCAACTCATTACCCTGCTTTGACTGTGTTTGATGCTCTTGCTGTTGGAACTTGAACTCTCCAAATTTGGCGACGGAATTTTCAGCCTGGAATTTCTTCCACTTGGAAGTCTGCCAGTGCTTTTGTCTACTGAATAGGCTTCAGGGCATGACGCATATACATTTATTTTGCTTAGCTATTGTTTGTTTTCCATTTGAATTTGTTTTTGGTTTTGGTTTGGTGGTTGGTTTTGTGTGTGTGTGTGTGTGTGTGTGTGTGTTTTGGGGTTTTTTTTCCCTTTTCATTATTTAATTCTTGACAAAGCCACAATCCATTTGCTCATGTTTCTGTAGGCAATGGCAGTACTTTCCTAATGCAGCTGTCTCGGTAAGTATTTTGTGTGCTACTTTTTTTTGTGGGAGTAGAAAACCCAAAACATCCTGGCTTCTGTGACAGCAGACTTTATAAATCACGAAGTAACTAACCAGTTCAAGTGCTTTTGTAAAGCAGAAATAAACAATAAAGACTGAATTTAAAGAGCTTGGCTCTCCATAGCTGAATCTTGTACAATTTAGTTGCATCAAAATAGAAGCCACCACATCGACTTCTTCTTACAGTGGTGTTTCTGTAGCGTGGTGAAGAATCAGACCTGTATCCTAAGAAAGCATAGTATTTCATGTAAATTAGCTGAGGAACTTCTGGTTATTTTCCTGTTACCTCAAAGAAAATTTGGCAATTGGTATGCAAGTCTTATTTTCCCAATTTTGCTAGCATCTATTGGTTTTGGAAGTATACTTTTATATTTTTCTGGGGAGAATGGGTTTATTGGAGTGATTACTGCAGCAGATGACTGTTTACTAAAGGTTTTTCAAAGGATCTGGAGTTGCATATATTGTATCAGAACTTAGTTTTTCAATTAGATTCTGGTAATAATGGTTTTCAGATTCCTCTGTTGGTGTTGTTTTCTAGTTATCAGCTTCTGCAAAACCCAAATGGCAAGTTTATTAAAAATCCAAAAATCTCTATAGCTGTAAAACGGAAACCAATAAGAATATTTGCAAAGAAAGATTATCGGTGTGAGAAAGTTGCAGGATTGGGTTGCATAGTGTTTGAATGGAGGGCAGAACAAGCAAACACACCTTGCTATTGCAGACAACTCTGTCCTTACAAGCATATGTTACACACATAACAGCAGGCTTTTAGAATATGTAAGATGTTTGTTCTAGCCTCATCTGAGATCAGTGTAAAATTTGCCCTCCATCATACCACTTTATGCAGTAATACATTTATTATAGACATGTTTCATGAAATCTGGGCTCCTACTGTGTGCCCAAGCCTATTCTGCTGTTCAGAAAAACCTAAATATACCCATATAAATTCACACTCTTCTTTATCAGTACATGTGCAGATTCATTGCTTCTCCAAGGGACTGCTGAGACCCATAACAGACATCTAAAAAATCCTCTTCTATGCCATGAGCTCCAGTAATCTCTGTCAGCAGACAGTAATTCTTTGTGATAGTAAAATGTATTATTATAACAATATTTTATAAGCTGCATACAGATTAAGGCTGTTAATAATTAATAGTCAACACTTTATATTAATCTTTATATTTCTTTTCCTGTGGCAGCATGTTTTATTCAAAAATAAATGCTGGGTATATCCAAATCAGGTAAATGATTACGGTAGCATTATATTGCTTTTCATTTCCTCAGTGACATCCATGGAAATGAATGTGACTTTTTCAATAAATATATATGTCTGTGTGTTTGTTGTACACATGTTGTTGTACAATATTGTTGTACAATAGGTATAGATTGAAAAAACATAACTATGTATGTGTGTAAATATAATTTGTATGTAAATGTAATTTGAGAAAGCACAGATACGTGCTTGTGTACATGTATCTGTACAGGTGCAGTAAATGTGGTAATGGCATATGGAAATACTGAGTGGTATTTTAAATGTAAAGCTTGTGACAGAGTGTAATAGAACTGAAGAGTGAGAAGCTACAGGGTTTTATGCATATTGTTGACTATGGTCCCGGTCAGTGTAGCTAAAGAAATATATATCTCTCTCTCTCTCTGGCCCCAAGGTTTACGGATTTGTGTGAATCAGGCACTCCTTCTGTAATAAGATGTCTGAACGATATATGCAGGAAACGAATTAATTCATGTCATTCTTGTTCAGGAGATGTGATTTGTAGTTGTTGCTTTGTGCCTTGAAGAAAGTTTACTATTTCACTCATGGATTGTTTGCTAGTCATTTTACTGCAATGAGGATTTCACTTTGTTTTAAATCAGAATGTCTTCTCTAAACTCATGGTTAAGGAGGTTAACAGGTGAATTTGTGCTGGCCCAAACTTTCTCAGGTGCAACTGGAAAGTTTCTCTAATTCATTTCAGTTAAGTTTCTGTGGACACATGTTACACACCAGCTATGCTCACCATGCTTTCCAGACTGGCCAAACTATTGAAAACAATAATCATGCCTATTGCTATAAGATCCTTGTTAGATCTGGGGAACTGTTTGACCCCCCCCCGGTTCGATTCATCCTTCATGCTGGAAGGATTTCCAGCATGAAAACCTGAGCCAGCAGACATTTTCCATTTTGCTTGTTGTTATGTCATGACTGACTTCAGTTTTTACTGTTTCTATGACAACCATGTTTTTTGATTGGTAAAGAATAAAGTGCTAAAAGATTATTTTTTTTTTTACTGATCTGTATTTTTTCATCAAAGGAGTGAAGACATCGCAAATGCTTTTTGCTAATCAGTGTTATAATTGAATTGCTGCCTAAATGTGCATACCTGTCTGTGGCAGATTCCACATACAATAATTTTTCAGATAGAACAGTTAAGAAAATATCCCTATTACAATTGCCAAATAACCTTCTGAAAAATTAATGATAATTTGTACTTCCAATTTAGGACATCCTTATTTGTCAAATCATGTAGGTACTTAATTCCAATGTTAACCTGTAAAGAAATGTACTTATCAGGACATGGTTCAAAGCAACATACTGGGTTGTTTTCTGAGATTCTTTAGCAACTTTTTCAAGTCAGCAGCGAAGTGGTACTTGGGAACTGATGATGGAATTTCATCAGGTGGAAGTAAAAAAAAAAGCAGGGAAGAATAACAAGAACATGACTTGCTGGGTTATAAGAGAACAGAGAAGAGGGGTCAGAATGCACAGGTGAACA